TGAACCCATTTCCATTATTTTATATTTTACCAAGAAGCTTGTGGCCTACCAGCAAGGTTCTGGCTGGCGGCTTGCATCTTTCTCCTCTGGCAGCTCCATGACTTCTCCCTGATTCTGCCTTCTTTCTCCCAACATTCATTTTAGTTTTCCCCCCACCTAGCTCTATTCTGCCTTTTCACAGGCCAAAGCAGCTTCTTTATTCATTGACCAATAAAAGCAACACATATACAGAAGGACTACCCATACCAAACTGGGATTTTTTTTTAATATTTATTTATTCATTCATTATGTATACAGTGTTCTGCCTGCATGTGTGCCTGCAGACCAGAAGAGGGCACCAGATCTCATTATAGATGGTTGTGAACTACCATGTAGTTGCTGGGAATTGAACTCAGGACCTCTGGGAGAACAGCCAGTGCTCTTAACCTCTGAGCCATCTCTCCAGACCCCCTAATAGGGAATTCTTAAAGGGGAAGTTTTGTTTTTTAAAAGAAGTTCTTTCCCATGTTAAAAAATGAGAAACGTTATTATAATGGAGGGAGTTAGGTCTCTGTGTGATTACACAATGGATGGTTTAAAATTGGAACAATTAAATGAAGGGATTATCAATTTACCAGGATTGACATGTTAATTATAATTTTGAGAATCTTTATTGTTGGTTTGATACTCCTTCGTATATCCTTTTATAAGGTGGTTGATAAGAGTACCAAGATACAGGTCTTAGAAAAACTTATTAAAACAGATCATAAATATATTTAGACCCAGACAGAGTAATTTAAAGGGGAACCAATCTCAGCATTGAACTTTAAGGTTAGAGAGGAACAGCCTAACGCTTTCAAACAGGCAACTTTAATTTATCCAGTAATCTTACAGGAACAACTGCCAAATGGTAGATATCCCCAAGGCTGTGCAAGAGCTGAGTGGACTCCTATGGAAGTATTATTATTATTATTATTATTATTATTATTATTATTATTATTTTTTTGGTTTTTCGAGACAGGGTTTCTCTGTGGCTTTGGAGCCTGTCCTGGAACTAGCTCTTGTAGACCAGGCTGGTCTCGAACTCACAGAGATCCACCTGCCTCTGCCTCCTGAGTGCTGGGATTAAAGGCGTGCGCCACCACCGCCCGGCTGGAAGTATTATATTTAAGGAGATTCAAGGAAGTGATAATCTCATATGGAATGCATTCACCTTTTGTAAAGCAAATGTTAAACTTGTCAACTTGTAATAAAATTATCCCCCCAGACTGGAGAGATTTGGTTACAGCAGTCTTGGAGCCTGGTTTTCATTTATAGTGGGGGACCTGGTGGAAAGATGAGGCTTCGACTATTGAACAATGACGTAGGGCTAGAGGATGAAAATCTCCCAAGACCAACTTCTTGGAGAGACAGATTATGCTAATGTATATACAAAGGCAGTCTCTATATGATGACCACATGTTGGGTACAGAAGCTTTGAATGCTTGGGACAGAATTGGAAAAGTAGGAAAGAAAATTAAGTCATTTACTAACATTATACAGATCCCAGAAGAAACTTTCACAGGTTTCTTACAAAGACTGACTTCAGCAGTAAATAGAATGATAGATAGCAAGTTCAGAAGCTAGACAAATAAGAACTGAATCTCTGGCTTTTGAAAATAATTATGCACAATGCAAAGGGATAATTAGGCTGTTACAGACAAGACCAGAGAGATAGAATCAGTATTGAATCTCATGACCATGATGATGCTTGATTTCCAGAGGTTTGAAGAAAAATGGAAATGTCAAATGTTATAATTGTGGCAAACAAGGTCACCTTAAAAGGGATTATAAACAGAGTGTTCCTAGAAACAATGTTTTTTCTTTTTCTTTTAGATTTATTTATTTATTTTGCTTACAGTGTTCTGTCTGCGTGTATGCCTGCAGGCCAGAAGGGGGCACCAGATTTCATTACAGATGGTTGTGAGCCACCATGTGGTTGCTGGGAATTGAACTCAGGACCTCTGGAAGAACAATCAGTGCTCTTTTTTTAGAGCTGGCTTTGGAGTTGGAGTATGGCTCTCTCCTTCTATAAATACAAGCATTCTTGTTGAAGTAAAATCCCAAATTTCTGTCTCATGACAGAAGAGCCACCTGATATGAAAGAGGAGAAAAGCCAAAATTTTGGAACTATTCTATTGCACTAATCTCTTAATCCTTTGGTTTTATTTAGACTCTTTAAAGCTTTTCTTAAGGTATAACTATTATCTCAGAATTTCCAAC